GTAGATGCTGAGTGTCTCCTTTTCAATGAAGAATGGGGAGAAAAGTACTTCTTTGTGGAAACAAACGACCAGAAAGCTAGTTGCATGATATGCAATGAAAGTGTTGCCGTTTTGAAAGAGTACAATCTTCGGGGTCACTATGAAACAAAACATCTGTCAACATATTCGAAGTTTTCTGGAAAGTTGCGTTCTGAGAAATTTGAGTTCATGAAACGTACTTTGGAATCTCAAAGAGTGTATGATGGAAGCAGCAAATGACTTGTATCCTGAGAAAGCCGATTTGTTTGAAAGTATCAGCCTTTCAGCAAGTTCAGAACAGAAGAACTTGGAGAGAACATAGTGTTACAGATACGCGAGAAAGCTAGGAACTTCTTGTGGTATCTTGTGATCTCTCGAGTACGTCACAACTTCTCGTGTTCATTCGTGGTGTTAATTTGGACTTTCAGATCACAAAAGAGTTGGCATCCATTTGCAGCATGCATGGAACAACAACTGGAGAGGACATTTTCATGGAAGTGCAGAAAACTTTGCAAGGCTATAACCTTCAGTGGAATCAGCTTCGATGTGTTACAGTTGATGGAGGAAAAAACATTGCTGGAGTGAGGAAGGGTCTGGTGGGGCAGATACGAACTAAGTTGAAAGATCTTCAACTCCCTGGCGCTCTGTTTATACACCGCATTATACATCAGCAAGCACTCTGTGGAAAAGACTTAGATATTTCTTGCGTACTGAAACCAGTCGTTTCTGCGGTAAACTTCATTCGGGGTCATGCACTTAATCACCGCCAGTTCTAGGCTTTTCTTGAAGAAATTGATTCTGAATTCTGTGACTTGCCTTATCCTGTTTCGTTTTTATAAGCTCCGAAGAGAAATAGATATTTTTCTCACCGAAAAGGATAGAGCTTATCCACTTCTGTCAGATCCTACCTGGCTGTCAAAGTTGTCATTTTTGGTTGACATCACATCCCACATGAATGAATTGAACTTGAAACTTCAGGGAAAGGATTAATCTTATCTGTGATCCCTACAGAATCATAAAAAAGATTTTGGAGAAAGCTATCATTGTTTGAAGCACAACTGGAAGGAGGAAACTTCTCTCATTTTCAGTGTTTCAAAGAGTTTCGCGCTGGAATCGCAGAAGATGTCAACCTCGAGTTTCCGAAGACGATTAAGACTTAAATAGGCATTTTTTGGAGAGATTTTCAGATCTCGACAGAATTGAGAGTGATATTCTTCTGTTCCAGAATCCGTTTGATTGTAACCTTGATGACATGCCAGTCGAACTATAATTGGAGCTCATGGATTTGCAAGCAAATGACTTGTTGAAAGAGAATCACAGAGAAGGAAAACTTGTTGAAATTTATCGCTGCTTACCTGATGATGAGTTTTCAAAGTTGAAGAAATTTGCCTCTGATATGGCATCAGTGTTTGGAACAAAAAATGAATTATGTAAAGTCAGCACATCGAACGAGGTTGACTGATGAACGTTTGAAAGCAATTCTCTTGTTTGGATGTAGCAATTCCAAAGCAAATATTGATGATATCTCAAAAGCCAAACGCCAGTTTCACAAATCTCACAATCCTTTTTTGCTGCTAAGTTTGTGAGATTTGGATATGTGCGCACCGGGTGTGATATAACTATCTTATTGCTAACGTCGCCTTCTTTGATAACTTTTTGGAAAATAAACATGTTTGCTGTCTTTATTTTTTGTGTATTCGCTGTATTGTATTGAACAAAATGGTTATGCATCCCGCGCTCGTCATTCTCTCAGTTATCTGACCCGCTGTGAAAAGTGTTTGGTGACCTCTGTTCTAGCTCATCAGATTGTTGCATGGTGTTGCTTTTTGGAACTTCTTAATTTGAACTAAATGAACGTATTGAAGGGTACACAGTTTGGCATAAATGCGACGGATGAGTCAGAGGCAAGACAAAAAAGAAAAGCTCAAACTCAAAGAGTGAAAAAAATTCTTTCTTCTCAAATTTCTAAACACAATGATCAAGTAATATATTGACCCTTTCTTTTATCCTCCTTGATGTAGAGCAGAGAAAAAGCTAGTTATGAATATTCTGCCTCATCTCGTGTAGCCCAGGGCGAAATTAACTGCGATGTATCTCACTTACTGTAGCTCTAAGTAACACTAGTTTGAACATTGTATCCCATCTGATAATGCCCAGGGTAAAACTAATTGAGAATAGTGTATATCACCTAATGTAAGCCCCAAGGGCGAAACTAACTGTGAATATTTTATTTGTATTATTTTAGGATTTAAGATTAAAATTTCTTAAATAAAATGCAGCTTGTGATAGATCATATTTTAACAATATATGTATATAACCTTTCTCAAAAACAAAATACATCCTGTATCCACTGCAGGGGATCAAATCCCAGACTTTAGTGTTGTACTTCTGTAAACATATTGCTGTCCCACCAGGGGATACATCGTAAACTCTTAGTTATTTTTATATGAAATATCTGTAGCCTGCACATTTAGGCTACCTATGGAAGAAAGTAAAACTGCTCATCGTTTCTTTTATTAGAACATTTATAAACACCTTAGGAATTTATATTCCCTGAGGAAACTTGTTTTAATCTTATTTCTGTTTAGGACCTATTTTTTTTTTTTTCTAGTGATGTACTAACATGAATTTCTTTTCTTACCGTGTTGTTTTCGCCGTCTTCAGAATGTTCTTCCGTTAGATGCACCAGTCGAAGGAGACATCCTCTTCTTACCACTTACCTGCATTACCTACAGTTTTGTTTTTTTATTGTTAAGCACAAGGACTATCTGTGCTGTGCCCATTTTGGCTATCAAACCCGATTATTAGCATTATAAGATCTTGGACTTTACGCCGAGACACCATGGAGCCAGTGAACATTTTATCCAGTTATCAACGCTATTTTCAAGTTTTGAACAACTCGATTTTGAAGATCTACATATCTCCATGTGCCGATGTTTCCCTTTATCAGTGTTATATTTTAAGATCTGTGCAAGAACTCAGCTAACAGATGTTTC